CACGGTTCACCCACCATGCCCGTCCCCGATGTCTTCAACGAGACCTTTCATAAAGTCGACGAGGCACTTTCTCGGATGGCCGAAGAATCAGAGGGCAAGATTCATTCCGGTTGCACAGCAGTGACTGCTTTCCTTCGCGTCGAAGATGCTGATGGCCACCAATCCTTCGTGACCACAGCTACGTCCTCGCCCGCTCCTGAATCGCCTGTTTCCGCACACAGCAATGATCCCGATAGTGCTCATAGCAGTGGCGCGGAGAGTAGCGGGAGTTTGAGCCCAAATCACAAGAAACCAAAGAAGAAGAAATCTTCAGGGAGCAGCCGTATTAAGAAGGCCTTGATGAGCCTTACCGGCAGCATCTCGGGGTCCATCTCATCTCCTTCCACGCCTCGCTCTGCATCTCCAGTTGCATCACGAAAAGACGCCGCACTGGGAACCACAATCACCGTCCCCCCTGCTAACTCGAAACGCGTACTGTATACTGCCAACGCTGGCGATGCGCGCGCCGTTCTGTGCCGCGCTGGAAGAGCCGTGCGCTTGACATACGATCACAAGGGCTCGGATAAGCAAGAAGCGAAGCGTATAATCGATGCTGGCGGATTCGTCATGAGCGGACGCGTGAACGGTGTTTTAGCCGTTACGCGGAGTCTTGGTGACTCCTCGATGAAAGAATTTGTGGTTGGATCACCATACACTACCCAGACGGAGTTATGTGATGAAGACGAGTTTTTGGTATTGGCGTGCGATGGGGTGAGTGCGCTCACATGACACTATCCTGACCCTCTCTAATGATGCCCATTGTAGCTATGGGATGTCGCCAATGATCAGAGTGCCATCGACCTCGTGCGCGAAATCGGTGATGCTCAAGTGGCGAGCGCAAAACTCCTCAAGTACGCGCTGTCCCACCATACGACGGACAACGTCACTGTGGTCGTTGTGCGATTCAAGCATGTCACTCCGCAGACCGCATAGATAACTTGAAGATGACCGACCAGTGACGAATTGTATATACTTAATGGCCGATCACAGGACGTTAGGCCATCTCTCTGTTTTTTTTTTTTTTCCTTCTGGGTTATCTCAACTGTACCCCATTAATCATCCTCCATTTCTTAATTCGGTATTTCTTGCACTAGCCTTTTTCTTGCATTAGCCTTGTTGCAGTGTAATACTCTGATGCTGTGGACTGTATATCCACGGTCATGAATATTAATCCCCGAGTTTCTGAAATCGTTTCTTTGTCATTCAGAGTTGCTGCCAGGATCGGTTAATTCAATAGTTGGCAAGGGTTGTGGATCTGAGCGGATGAGGATGACTGGGTGAAAGTTGCGGGAAGGAAATGAAATTTCTCGGTCCGAAAGTTCTCGGGCCTGGTCTCCCGAAGGGGACCGAACTCAAGCTAACTACAAGGGACTAGGTGAATGTCAAGGGTGTGTAGGTAGATTGTAGAGTGAAGTAATTGTAGATGATGAATAGGGATGGTGGGAGGGGATGAAAAGCGCGCGTGACGTCAGATATAATCTAGCGCTGCGAGCGCGGTGTGAGAGGACAAGGTCCTTCGTACCGGCTGCGCAGGTATATAACTATGGGCATAACAAAGAAGTGAGCGTAATATTTCGAGATAAAGAATGAGAAAGATGAAGGGGGAATTATTTGATGCCCTAATTAACCCCGAATTCCCACCCTTTCACATTGCTCGATCCAATAATTGTGCCTGCTAATTGATGATGACAACAATAAACGAACACGCTCCTTGAGAGCGCCACACAAAGGGAAGATTGGAGACAATAGCAAAAGGATTGTCCCAGGGAGGATTCGAACTTCCGGCTTCTCGGAGCAATTTAAACCACAACGAGATGATTTAACCACTAATCGACAAGGACGTTAGATGTCGGGGAGCATTTACACCTAATGACCTAGCTCCTTTTCATTGGTTTCGTAAAAAGATTTTTTTTGATACAATGAACCACGAGATGATTTAACCACTAAAGGATATTGGATGTCACGGAGCATTTGCACCCATGGCTAGATGTGGGATCCATCTGCTCATCAGGGACTCCAACATATGACAGGCCGAACATGGGATAGAAAATGTATTACGCTAGTATAGAGAAAAGTTGGTCGACCCAAAGATAAGATTCGTAACGTGTCATCACCAATGTTTCGTGAATAGTGTCGGCATCTCTCTAAAAACTTTCATCAAACTCGACTGGGAGGAACACCATGAAGAACGTAAGGGTATGTCGACACAATCAGCTGTAGAAACACCCCATTGGCGTCGGCCATCATCTCCAGTCTGAGGGGACGGACTTACAACAAAGAGTTCTGGGGCCCGAACAGCCAACACTTGTGGATCTTCGCCGAGTCCGACGAAACTGTAATAAAGTCTTTAGAATGCGTCCCGAATTGGTCCATGATCCATCTTACATGGTTGATACACCGGCTTCGATGGCAGAAGACAAGGTCAAGGCTGCAGGGTAAAGTCAGCATCGTGGTGTGTATAGAGAAGTCGGTGACTGACAGCATTGCAGACCAATCAAAAACGCCAAGAGCAAAATTGGGGCCGTGTAGTTCCCATCTGCGTTATACGTAGGTCCAGTTACTGGAGATCGACGTTAGGTACGACCACGCGGGAAGATTAGCTGAGGCCACTTACTACGCAGGTAGAGATAGGCGAAGAGTGATGACAATAGGCCAACAGCATAGGCTCCCCATGTAAGGGCTAACATAAGCCCTGAGCCCCACCCTCTAAAAAAATAGCTGACAATTACGCACTTATTCCAACAAGAGAGTCATTGACGAGAGCGTCAATGCCTGCGACGAATCGTTATGATAATTACAGAGGGGCAGAACCCATTACGATGACACACCTCGATCTTTGAAAAGCCTCCAGGTGTCTTTAGCAGCGGGAATATATGCCTTGCCATAGAGTGCTAGAGAACAAAAAGCTTCAGCTAGACAGGAAGACCAACGAGTCATAGACGTACCAATTTCGATATATGCGTATCTAAATATTACGGATCTTAAGCCATTGTCATCTACACGAGGAGATATAAATACCTATTGAACCACTCCACTAGGCTCTCAATACAGCCTATGAAACACGCTGCACAGCACGCTAGGCAAGCCTCGACAGCTGATCAAGCCAAGAAAGGTTTAGGATGAATTCATCGACGAGTAAAGCGAACGTACGATGGCCTTCAGCGTTGGCGTTGTTGCGTACCATGTTCAGAATCATCTTGATAAGTTCCAAAAGCGTGACTATCAACGATCCGAAGGCGATCGATCCCAAAGATAACGTAGAGGCCCGTCCAAAGGCAGAAGTGGTAGGATGCTTCGGCTACAAGTTGAGCACAAGCCGTTAGGAGACCTCGGAGATTGACGGCTTTCGCAATACATACCATCTCACCCATCTCCCGAGGCCCGAAGTAGTACCACGACCCGTAGGGCCCGCCTGCGAGCGTGGCAATAGCGACGTTTTTGACGACTTGCGAGGTCCAGAGGAAGGAGAAGATTTCGAAAAAAATGAGGCCCGCGACTTTGCCTGATGAGCAGCTGGTTCCGGTCTCGCAACCTTGTGTTGATATACTCGTAAACCAGGCAAGAAACCCAATAAGACAGGGGTACTAACTGGGGTTACCTGGCGTGTATTTGGCGTATCTGTTGAATGTGTCAAGGCCATTCCAATCAAGATCTAGCAAAGCGACTTACGTAGCAACCGCCGTAAACGTAAACCAACTTGAAAGAAGAGTCAACTAAGACCATTCCGAGCACGAAGCTATGCACCTACACTGCCAAGGCCGCTTGAATGAAAAGGGCGATGAAAGCCACGAGGTAGACGCTCTTGTGGTGCTTTGAAACGTCCATAACGACTTGTAGCAGCAGCGACGCAAGAGGTATGCGAGACCTAAAGCCAAAGTAGGAGACGATAGACAGGAGAGCGATTACCGTGAAGACAATCGCGCCAGCTGCGGTGAAATGGGAAAAATCAATGAGAAAACCCTTGCTCATTCGTTAGGCACATACACCAGTATCTTGTAATCCAGTAGTAGATGCATATACCGCTGAAGAAATTGTTAACCTGCGAGGCCTCCGATACATGGATTTTTGACGTACATGTTCAACAAGATTGATAATACAAGGGTGATGTGCATGATCATTCGTGTGAACGCGCGAGTGAGCATGAGGTAGGCCGTGGAGAGTAGCAGCGCAGCTGCTGTAACCAAGAGAAGGAGATAGACAGTACTCCTGCAATAAAGGGAAGCCAAATCCTTCTCAACAAGTGGGTATAATTGACGAACCGATTAACCGTGACGGCAGTACCAGACTGGCCGCCCGACTTTCCAAGGCCCCCTCCAAGACCGTTGCTCGATATCCATGAGTGCAGTACTATGCCAGAAAGTACAGCGAACCCAAGGAACTGAGAGGAGGTTGAATACGAGTTAATGATCCATCTCGCACGACACACGCACTTGCAACACAAAGAAGGCAAGGAAGAAGGGATCATTTATTGTGCGTTTGGGCTTAAATCTATCGCCCTCGTAAGGGGATTTCTGGTCGTCGGCAGGAGGAGCTGGTTGCTCAGGAGCATAGCCTCCATATCCTCCATAGTTGGGGGTAGGCCCTGGATAGGGCTGTTGTTGCATGAGGGTTCAGAATGAAGGGAGTAATTAAAAAGGTTCGTAAAGGGTCGTAAATCAGAAAAGGCGGAATCAGGCGATTGAAGGAGAGAAGCAAGAATGAAGCCCTGTTCGGCTCACAGCACTGTTCCATTCAAAACGTTGATGGCGATGACGTATCGGGATGTGATCCAGTACATTATGAATCTGATCGGGACCTGACCTCATGCAACGAGCATCTTAGTAGACAAGGCTTCAAGATTCAAACTTCAAGCTTCAAGACCCAAATGCCAACCAATACTCAAGACTGAGGAGAGATCGTGGTGAAAACGAGGCCCAACAAGGGTCAGGCGACCTATAGTTAGCGGTCTACCTGGCTTGTGGGTCCTTGTCGATTAGTGGTTAAATCATCTCGTTGTGGTTGAACTGGCTCCGAGAAGCCGGAAGTTCGAATCCTCCCTGGGACAAATACTTTTTTGACGATGAGTTCGGTGTAAAAGCAGGTTCCAAGGGTAAGGAGCTTTTTTGAAGGCCTCTGCTACCCTTGGCATACAGTGTCAGTCCCCGTCGCTGTGTAGGTGCACAAGCACCATCTCCTGGCAGGCCCTCTGCCATCTCTGAGTCCTGGGTGATCTGTGTGTGGTGTTCCAGTCAGGACTGAGGCTGCATCGTGGATCGGATACCTGGTCTCACCTATGGCCATTGCTTGGTACCTCTCCACCACTTGGTCACAACTGTAAGCACATTTGCTGCTCTCTCCCCAGCATATTGCTGATGCCTCTTTAACAGAGTAGTGCTATATCTCATATTTGTTCTATCACACCATTTGATGCACTACTCTGCTGTG